TTGTTCCTTAGATAACATTGACTGTTATGACTAAAACTTCAAACTTTTTTTATCAGTTTTGACTAGAAAGTGTCTTCCCATCAGGTATTGCGGCCACTTTTGTATAGCAAATACTATTGCCATAAGTTCCTTCTCATAGACTGACTTACCCATAGCTCTTTGAGAGAACCCTTGACTGATGAATGCCACTGGTCTGTCACCTTGCATTAGAACAGCCCCTATTCCTTTTCCGGACGCATCCATGCACACTGTAAATTCCTTTGAGAAATCAGGTAATGCCAGAACTGGAACTTCAGCCATTAATCTCTTAAGATGATTAAATGCCACCTGTGCTTCCTCCCCCCATTTAAATTTGTCTTTCTTAAGCAATTTCGTTAGTGGTTTGGCAATCTTACCATAATCCTTTACGAATTTCCAATAATATCCCGTGAGACCCAAAAATCCCCTAAGCTCCTTAAGTCGGGTTGGGGAAGGCCAATTCAGCATAGCTTGAACCTTGGAAGGATCTGCCATCACTCCATTTCCAGAAATAATGTGACCTAAATATTCTATTTGAGTCTGGCCAAATTCACATTTCTTCCTATTCAGCACCAATTGGTTTTGTCTCATTACCTCAAAAACTTTTCGTAACTGCTCCACATGCTCTTGTTTATCTTTGCTGTAAATCAACACATCATCAAGAAAAACTAGCACAAATTTCCTCAAAAATGGGCGCAACACATCATTCATCAATGCTTGGAAGGTTGTTGGAGCATTGACGAGACCAAATGGCAACACCAAATACTCATAATGGCCTTCATGGGTTTTGAAGGCCGTTTTGGGCTCATCTTTTTTCATTCGAATCTAGTGGTACCCAGATTTCAAATCTATTTTGGAAAATACTACAAACCCACCCAATTCTGCCAATAGTTCATAAATCAGCGACAAGGGAAACTTGTTAGGAACAGTGTATTTGTTTAGTGCCCGATAGTCTACACACACCCTCCAACTCCCATCTTTTTTTTTACTAGAATCACTGGACTGGCATAAGGACTAATGCTACGCCTAATCATACCCTGACTTAGCAACTCCCCTACTAATTTCTCTATTTCAGTCTTTTGGTAGAAGGGGTACCTGTATGGTCGATTATTTGAATTTCGCTACCTGGTTTGAGCGTAATAGCATGGTCACAACTCCTTTCTGGTGGTAGTCCCATTGGCGCTTGAAAGAGGTCCTCAAATTCTTCTAGCAACATCTCCAACTCCTTCCACCCCTGAATCTGACCTGACTGATGTGTTTTCCTCAGCTCCACTAAAAACCCTTCAACTTATTGTTGCAATACTTTCACTATTGTTTTATAGGAGACCATCGTTCTGGACAGGGAAGCATCTCCAGAAATGATGAACTCCCTCCCTTCCTAATCATACTTCAACTTCATCTCCTTGAAGTTCGCCCTGACTTTCCCTAGTCCTCTGAGCCATCGTCAGCTTCCTCTTCTGCGTTTACTGGATCTGCGGCCTGCTTCTCTTCAGGTTTCTCTTCGTCATCGACGATAATCAACCTGAGTTGTCTGACTTGACAATGATGTTTGGGATCCCACTTCTCGTTGCACTTGAAGCATAGGCCCAGTCCCGAACGTTCTTGCAGCTCTGCTTGGGGCAACCAACTGTTGTCACCGCCTCCAACCACACTCGCTTGGCTCTCCACGTTCGTGTTTTTATTTGTGTTCTGCGAAGTTGGGAAATTAGTGTTACTTTATCCACTACTGGGTATTTTGGCCCCATCCCCCGTATTGGGCTTGGAGTTATTAGTCAGGCCCGAACCCATTTGGTTCATTCTATTTCCCATTGCGTTCGTATTAATGGAACGATGATTATGGGCCCAGTTCGAAGCAGCTGAACTTAAGCCCAACCTAACTACCGTTTTCTTCATCCCCTCCATCACCCATGCCTGATTACGCCGTTCGATTTTCTTCGACATCTTCATCATCTCACTCAATCGGATCGTAGGGTGCATCAGCAGCTCTTCTCGCACGTTGTCACAATCCGTTAAGCCACACTCCTCTCAGTAATTTCTCATCCTCGTAGCGCAGGGGGCTAACTACCCTTTTGAATTCTTTTCGGAACTCCGTTACTGGTCCAATTTTCCTTAGAGTGAGCAGAGATCGTAGAGGGTTATCCACCACTTCCGGTTGGAAGCGACAGAGGAGCTCAGTCCGAAAGTATTCCCAAGTGGGATTACCAGTGTTGATCTCCCATTACTGGAACCAGTTTAGTGCCTCGCCTTCTAAGACCACCAATACAGCCGCTACTTTCTCTTCGTCCCGTACCCCGTTGATTAGGAAATAACGCTCCACTTTGTTCAGCCAACCATACGCATCTCCCCCATCAAAGATGGGTAGATCCAATCTACGCCTATATGTTTCCCCTCGTCGATTTCGTCTCGAATTTCCATCCATTTCACCATCAAATCCCTGCGAACCCCCGCCATTTGTCCCTTTGTTTCTTCTTCGTCCATCTTCATCAGTGTTTTCATTTCGGTAATTTGGCAACACTTCATCCATCCTCCTAAGAATCCCCACCTGATTTTCCTCCGTCCTCCTTACTCTCCCAATCAGTTCTTCATATCGAGCTTTCATACCGCGCGTCAGCACCATCCACAGAGCTCCCAGATCAGAGCTCTGATACCAATTGTAACAGATAAAAAAACACAAGACAAAGAACAGATAAAAATTACCTCTGTATTAACTTTGAACAAGTATTTCAATCGTTTTCTCCGAGTTTACAAATCAACAACTACTGATGATTAAAATAAATGCTGAAATTGAAACGTAACAGTAAGCAAGCTACAACCCAGAGCTTTTAGGAGAGGCTCTGGTTCCCTCCCAATTTTCCAAGTCCTAAATACTCAGATTCTCCAATGCCCTCCTCCTTCTCTCACTCTCGCCTAATAACCACCCCTTGCCTTGCATCATGCGTGCCCCCTTCAACAAAATTGCCTTCCACCTCTTTTGCTAACTCATCAAAGTTAGTTATGGTTTGGGATCCTCTACTTTTGTTCCCTTTCTTTCTTACATACAGTTGTGCATATGTGCTACGTGGCCCGTTGTTGGTGACACAATCACATTAAGTTTCAAAGGAATATGAGTTTATAGCATTAAAACTGGAGTAATAGATCATTGTTGTTGTGTAGTGTTAGAGCTTAGAGATGTTATAGCATCGACCTAGGTAAAGTAATCTCCAACTAGTTTCTCACCATCATTTTACTTCTTTTACAGTGTTTTGTGTGTTCAGCTTAACTACATTATTTCTTTCTTCTATTCTCGATAACCAAAAATAATTTATATTCATTGCATTTTACCTTACAACATTTAATGTTTCAAAAGTTGTTTGATGAATTGTTCCAATTTTTCATTCTTTGTACAATTGAATCTACTTCTTGAACCTTAAATTCTTATAACTTTCCCTGTAGAACAATAATCTAGTAGTTGATGTAGTTTTTATTCCCCTTTTTGCTACAGCAATGTTACGCTATCAAGATCATTATCTGAAAGCAAAAGAATGTCCTTGGTCTCCTTATGGAAGGAGGAAAACAATGTAAACCTTCCAATAAACCAATTGACATTAATCACAAACTCGGAAGCAAAGAAAAGAGTCCTCCGATTGATAGAGGATAATATCAACGACTGGTGGGAAGATTAATATATTTGGCTTATACTAGAGCTGGTCTAGCTTATGTGGTTAACTTGTTGGTTAGTTCACGTTAAACCCTAGGGAAAAACACCCGCATACAATGAACAATATTCTCCCTTAAATCAGCCAAAGGATTATTAATCTGAAGTGGGCAAACCTATCATTAGATGTTTATTCCAATGCAATTATGTTGGGTCCGTGACTGATCGACGGTCTACCTCAAGCTATTGTAAGTTTCTTTGTGGAAACTTAGTAAAATGAAGGAGTAAAAAGCAAAATGTGGTTGCTAAGTTGAGTGCAATGACAACATAAAGCCAAGACCCAAGATAATTGTGAATTATTATGACTGAAAATCATTCTAGTTGATCTAAAAATGAGATGTGAAGGACCTATGAAGTTACTTTATGATATTAAGTCAATTATTTTTATAGCACACAATCATATCCATCAAGACAGAACAAAACATATTGAGATTGTTGCCACTTTATTAAAGAGAAAATAAAAATTGATCACTACTTCATATATTCCTTTCGGTCATCAATTAGCTGATATCTTGAGCAAGGAACTTCTTACCAACAGATTTCAAGAACCTACTAGCAAGCTGAGAATAATAAATATCTATTCCTCAACTTGAGGGGGAGTGTTTATATATGAAAAATATTTGTAATTATTTTTTTCTTTTATTAGCCAAATGAGTGTTTCTTTATTTTTACGATTTGGCTCTATTACTTCTTAAACTTATTAGATCAGTCTCCCAATATATATTGTACCCCTTTGTATATGTTCACTTGAGAATCAATAATATTTTTCTGTTTTCACCTTTCAAGTCTCTCAAAGTAATGAAGTCCATCTAGGCTATTGGATTTGTAATTTTACTACAAATTATTTTCTTTCAATTTTCATTGTTCCCAAACAATGGAAAACCACATCCTTCCAAACAAGTGGAAAGTTATATTATATCATTCTAATTTAATTTATTTTCTTATATTTTAATTCCTCTCTCAATTTGTTCCCAAACAAATTAATATGTTCTTACTAGACTTACTCATTCATTCCATGTAAACAATCATTGCTATTCACAATTTTATTCTTCACACATTCAAGCTGAATAGCTACGACTCAGTCCCCTGATTGGGCTAAAGCCTAGGCTGGATCTATTAAATATGTATTAAATTAATATTTATTACAGCTACCCCCTATTCCATGTCATGACTACTAAACAAAAATGAAATTTACATTTTTCACGATGCCATTTCATTGGTTACCTCTTAAAAACTTTCAGCTCAACATATGCAATGAGAGATGGATTCGTGCCAACAGAATAATTACCTGTGACCGGAAATGAGATGCTTCTCTTTTAGGGAGTTCTCCAAGGATATCTTTCAAGCCTAACGTACCAAAAACAAGCCAAATCACCAAAACATGAGGTACCATCACCAGCTTATTTCATTGGCTGGCAACATCTTTTTCTTATTAAAAATAATATATATTTTGTATACCTCCTGCCCGTTTTTCAATTTTATATGCTGACTGAATCACACTTCGGATCTGCTTTCCTGCTTGTCTATAATAAAATTATAAATATTGATAAATAACTGATATCAGTGCATAAATACAAAATCAATGTTACAGCGCTACATCTGTAAGTTGCAAACCTAAGTTTTGTCCTTCCATGTAAGAATTGCTCTTCTGCATGTAATGCACTCTTCTGAAAACAATAGTAGAACAAAATACCATGAATACTAGAATAGCAATCAAACTGCATGGGTTATCTCAAAGTTGTAATAGGTCAATCCAATGGGAAAACAAGTTAGAGAAAAGCCAAACTCTAAAATAATCTTTACATGTATCAAAATTTGCTTCAAAGCATAGTTATAAAACTTGGATTGGTCATTGATTCAGCTGATATATCATGTCAATGGGTTACTAGTGAGTCCTAGACATCTATTTCAACTACATCAAACTAAATAAAATATCAATTACAATAAAATTAAAAATAATTAAAAATAATATTAACGTTGATGAATACAATTAAAATTTACAATCCATAATCACCAAAAAAGCAATTTCATGTGAAATCTACTATTTAGTAAAACTAATAAAACTACATAAAAAATATAAAATTACCTAATTTTTATTAAGATAATGCATGCCACATGATAGCTTATTCACCACACAGGCCTTATTACCCACTTTCACCGTATTGATTTCAAGAAGAGAAATTGAAAAGTTGTTCACCTAAATTTCTACAAGGCTCAACAACATGGTCATTATTTCAATTTTGAGTTCGATACTTCCTATATATCTTAAGAACTAAGCTCAACCTTACCAAGGTAATAAAAATCGTGATCTTCCATGTGAGTTCGCGCAATCTTACCATTTTTTCAGTCTCACCCGTTCGCACTTTGGAATTCGTTATGGTTAAAGCAGTTGGAATCATAGGATCGTGACACTCCCACCACTTGTACCCCCTTTTCAAAACCAATTTAGTTCGGAAACCTTTCGTTCTAAAGTCCCACTCATCCTCTCTATCATGCCGCTCTTGCGACCTATTAGGAAGTACATAGTTGTGTTAGTTAGTTCCACATCATTTAAATAGGTTCCAAATCAATATACCTTATTATTATAAATATAACCTCTTGTGGGTCGTACTTGACACACAATTCCTCAATTTCAAGTTGCTACTAGAGCTTATGTTGCAAGAAAACCCTAATTCCTAGTCGAGCGTCTTAGCGACAAGCTATCACAGCCACGCAACCCTAGTAACCGTAGTCGTGTTGGTAACAAACCTCGATGTTCTTTTGTCATAAATTGGGATTTTTGGAGGAATATGTTAGGGAAAAATATCGCAAGCCTACCACTGTTGATCTTACTCACAAGGAGCTAGCATCCTCAGCTCTTATTGTGACCAAGGTAGTCAAAATCGAGATCTTACCTAAGATCGGAAAGGGTGGCAAGATCATAAATCGTGGGATCAACACGGATCGTAAAGATCTTACCTTCTTAATTTTAATTGAAGTAATTTCTCCTCTAATTTTTTCATTTTTATATTTTCAACTTGGTTAATGTCGTTCTAAAGCTTCTCAGGCATCTATGAGGCCCATGTTTTATAAATTCTATTTGTATCTTCAATATCAAAGTCCACGACACAAGTTTTATAAATTCTATTTGTATCTTCAGTTTCAAAGTCCATGTCCCAAAATAATTTTAAGAGAACCCAATTCGAAATTGGGCTTGCCCATTTGCTGCCCCATAACATCAAATAACCCTAAGTCACTTTTGCTAAGCAGTTTAAACGCTGCCACTTCATTTTCTTCAGCCATATAACTTTTGCATTATTCGAAGTTTCTGTTATGTTTTCTCCCTCGACTTATACATGTGGATGGATTTTTTCAATACTTCATCTTTTTCATTCACATAACCCATTTTGGGTGGGTTTTTTTTCCGGATTGTACATGTGATCTCACTGTTTCAGTGATCTTCCCTGGCAATCCTAAGCTATCCCACTATCTTCCGATCTAGCAACCATTTTGGATTGAATAAGACAATTGCCAAATTGTACGATCCTAAGATCTGGAATGTGATTTTGACCACCATGACTGTGACTATTCCGAGTGCAGATTATGAAGACCTTCTACACCTTAATGCCTCGTCATGAACTAGTAATCCTATGCTTGCACCTCTCAACCATCTCTTGGATCGTGGATAATTTGCCCTGGTCCTTCTACTCATCTCTATGGTAATAAGGATCTTCTCACATCTCTTACATATTTGGCCAATTAACTGCAGTTACCCTTACGGATGGTTCCAAGATAGTTGTTCGCAGCATTTGACAAGCATAATTGTGTTCTTCTTTACCTTTAATCTTGATTCTTTATGTCCCTGGCTGGTCCTTTAATTTAATATCAATTAGTCAACTCATTCGTTCTCTTAATTGTTTTGTTATCTTTAACTAAAAATCTATTTTTGTGCAAGATACGGGTACGAGAAGGACAATTGGAGTTTGTAATGAGTTACGCAGACTTTACCATCTTGTTGTGCCCAGTTACCCAGTGGCATGTACCATGACATATTCCCTTGACCTTATTCACAATCATTTTGGCAAATCTTGTTTAGGATTCATATATTTTGTGACAATTGATGATTGATTACTCTCGTTGCACCTTTGTTTTCTTAAAGAAGAATCGTTTTGAACTGTTCTCTGATGGATCTCTTTCTGAACCTTATCAAAATGGGCTTGTTGTTAATGGGCCTTCGGAAGCAAATGGTGGACCTGATAGACCTTTGAGGGACATTATGGTGTCTTATGTTGAGAGACAGAATGAGGATGGGCCAGCAGCTGCTCTCAAGAGGATTGACAGAGTTCCTAGACGCAAGGTAGACTGTAAGGTTTGAGGAGGAAAGCTTATGACAGCTGGAAGTTGGTTAATACTTTGGACACGTGGAAGGCTGCACATGGAGAGGAAAATGTGGTGATGGAAAGAGGGGATTTGGGGTGATATAAGTTAGTTAGGAAGGAAGGAAAAAGGTATCGAGAATATGGAGAGTGGTAGTAGGAGCAGTGGCACTGAGCATGAGGTCTCAGTGGCTGCATAATGAATAAGGGATAGTCCTTCAATCGGATAGCTGAGTGAAGGGGTTAATTTACTCATATAAGGTGTAGTAGTCATTGTAATTGTTGATTCTGTTTTACTGGTTTGAGTGGCATTGTCCTCACCGTTAATTCCAATTCTATAAGTTGATTCTGTTGTTAAATCTGATATTGATATCTACCATTTTAATTGTAATTGATCTCTGTTGATACACTGGTCCCAACAAATTGGTATCAAAGCTCTTACGATCGTTGGGAGAGCTGAATGGTAAGGATGACGATGGAGAATCGAGTAGAAGAAGTTGAACAAAGAACGGGAAGAGTAGAGGAACATTTGGGAGAGGTTAGAAACGAGGTGCGTCTGATGAGGGAGGCGTTCACCGAATTCTTAAATCGGGTGGATAACGGAGGAAGAGAAATGGGGAGAGGAAGCGGAGGACTAGAAACAGGGGGTCCTTATGGCAACTATGGGAGAGAACCGATTGGACGGAACGAGGAGCGAATGCGTAGGGTTGAGGTTCCCTATTTCTCTGGGGAGGACCCGTACGGCTGGATTTTTCGTGCGGAGCGCTATTTTCGCGTTAATCGGATTCCACCTGAAGAGCAAGTAGAGACGGCTTCCATTTGTTTGGAGAAGGAAGCTCTTAGTTGGTTCCAATGGTGGGAACCAAGGCACCCACTGACGGACTGGATGACGGTGCTGCAACGTTTCCATATTTCACCATCTGGTAATCCGTATGAAGCACTAATGGAATTGAAACAATCCGGCACGGTGGCGGAGTTTCGCAAACAGTTTGAAGTCTTGTCCGCCCCATTAAGACAAGTTGACGAAGAGATGATGCAAGCGGCATTTCTAACCGGATTGAAACCGGAGATTAGAGCTGAGATCCGCTTACATTCACCAGATGATTTGGGAGGGATGATGGTCATGGCTCAACGGGTTGAGGATCGTGATGCAGTGTTGGGGAGAAACTATGTGGGGATGGGTCGTGGAGGTCAAGGGCCCAATAGTCATACTAATAATTGGGGAAGGGCTGCGCTGTTTAACAAAGGAGGGGCCAATGGATCCAAGGGAGGGACGTATGGGCCAACTACTTCAGCCCAAAATAATACTGCCACTAACTCCATGTCACAAGCATCCGTAGCCAGTCACAGTCCATCGAACCCTAATCGAAATGGGGGAGGAACGTCAGACACAGGGGGAACCACCCAAACAGGAGGGGCGGCGGTCGCCGGTACGGAGGGGAGCAGCGCGAACCGCTTTCGTCGTTTGTCGCCGGAAGAGGTAGCAGATCATCGGAGGCGGAATTTGTGTTTTCGATGCGATGGACCCTTTGGTCCAGGGCATGTGTGCCCTAACCCTCATCTATGGGTCCTGCTATTGAATGAAGACGAGGTTGAGCCTTCAGAAGAGGACGTGAGGAGGTGTGACGGAGACGGGGTACCAGAGGAGGTGCTCCAACTCAATGTACAGAGCGTGGTGGGGTTGACTTACAATCGCTCTTTGAAGCTATGGGGTAAGGTGAACGACCAGGAAGTGGTGGTTCTCATCGACACGGGTGCCTCTAACAACTTCATCGGAGACAACACCGTGGATCGGTTGGGGCTTCCATTCGGCGGTTCCAAATCTTTCAGAGTAGGAGATGGCGATGGTACTCAGCTACAAGGAAAGGGGGTATGCAGGGAGGTTAAGCTGGTGCTACCAGGTTTGTCAGTCACCCAAGACTATTATGTGTTCATCTGAATGATGTTGATTTGGTTCTTGGCTATTCGTGGTTGGAAGAATTGGGGAATATTCAGGCAAATTTTAGAGAACGGATTCTCAGAATTCCATGGGAAGGGAAGGTAGTCACCCTCCAAGGAGATCCGAGTCTTTCGTGCAGCAATATTTCTTATAAAGGGATGTCACGTTCCTGGAAAAAGGGGGCAGAAGGGTATTATGTGGAGTTGGGGTATTGTGCGATGGAGTTACTTGACTCTCAAGAGGAGGTTCCATTGGTCGCAGAGCTACTTCAGCAATACAGAGATGTCTTCCAACCGCCAAAGGGGTTGCCACCGCCGCTAGACTGTGATCACAAGATACTGTTAAAACCTGATGCCACCATCCCAAATATACG